TAACATGATCCACCATTACAACATCACACAGAATAGTTTTACTGCTGTAAAAATCGCCCGTGGTCCACCCATTCATCCTTTTCTGCCCCCACCTCCTGGTAGCCACTGGTCTTTTTATTATTTCCATAGTTTTGCTTTGTCCAGAGTGTCATGTAGCTATATTCATCCACTATGTAACCAATTCAGATTGGCTTCTTTTTTTAATATTTATATTATTATATCGATGTTTTAAAATTTTTTAAATATTCAATTACAATTGACATTCAATTTAATATTAGTTTCAGGTGTACAGTACAATGGTTAGACATTTATATAACTTATGAAGTGATCTTCCAATAAGTCTAGTGCTCATCTGGCACCATATATAGTTATTACAATATTTTTAGCTTCTTTCATTTAGCAATATACATTCAAGAGTCATCCATGTCTCCTCCTGGCCTGAGAACTCATTTAAAAAAATTTTTTTAATTAATTTATTTTTGTTACAGATATTTCTCTTTTTTCCCTCATTGACCCCCTCCTTCCATTCCCGCATCTTCCCAGCATTGTTGTCTGTGTTCATTGGTTATGCTTATATACATAAATTATTTGGTTTATTTCTTTCCTATCCCCCACCCCTCCTCTGAAGTTTGTCAGTCTGAACCTTACTCCCATGTCTCTGGGTTAGCTCATTTCTTTTTATCAACAAATAATATTCCATTGTATAGATGTACCAACTTTACTTATTCATTCATTCACCTGTTGAAGGACATCTTGGTTGGTTCCAAGTTTGGCAATTATGCATAAAGGTGCTTTATACATTTATACGCAGATTTTGTGTGAATATAAGTTTTCAACTAATTTGGATAAATTCCAAAGAGCATAATTGCTAAATTGTATGGTAAACACGTTTAGTTTTGTAAGAAACCACCAAACTGTCTTCCAAATTGGCTGTATCATTTTGTTTAATTTATTTTTTAATCCTTACCCAAGGACATTTTTGTATTTATCTTCAGATAGAGTGGGAGGGAGTGGAAAAGGAAGAGAGAGGGAGAAGCATCTATGTGAGAGAGAAACATCAATTGGCTGTCCCCTCCACGGCCCCCACTGGGGATCAAGCCCACAACCCAGGCATGTGCCCTGACCAGGAATCAAACCAGGACCTCTCAGTCCATGGGGCGACACTCAATCCACTGAGCCACACCAGACAAGCGTGACCTGTTTTTTTTTTTTCTTTTTCTTTTTGTACGTGCCCCTAGTGGGAACCGAACCTGGGGTTCTCTGGTCCACAGGCCGGCGCTCCAACCGCTGAGCCAAACCGGCCAGGGCATGACCTGTTTTTATTTATCATTTTATCACATTTGTTTGCATCCTAAAAAAAATGTATTGTTTAGTTTGCAAGTTTTTGTACTTTACATGAATGGAATCTTCCTCTATAAACCCCTTGAGGCTGGCCGTTCTTTTGATCAATAAATACTTCCTGATACCCTTTCACGTTGTGGGTGGTTGGAGTGGTTCTTTCCACTGAGGAAATAGGTAACTAACATACTCTTGACAGATATTTGGATTGTTTTCGATTTCCATGATTATCCACTACACTAATATAATGCACATCTCCTGGTGCATGCACATAACAGTTTCCAAAGAGTAAATAACTTGCACGGACTTGCTAAGGCATCAGGTAGGACAGAGGTTAACAAACTCTTTCTGTGCAGGACCAGACAGTAAATGTTTTAAGCTCTATGGGCCTGTGGTTTCTGTTGCAGCTTTTCAATTCTGCTGTTGTATTATGAAAGCAGCCACAGACCATGCGGACATGAATGAGCATGGCTGTGTTCCCATACAACTTTCTTTCTTTCTTTCTTTCTTTCTTTCTTTCTTTCTTTCTTTCTTTCTTTCTTTCTTTCTTTCTTTCTTTCTTTCTTTCTTTCTTTCTTCTCTTCTCTCTCTCTCTCTCTCTCTCTCTCTTTTTATCCTCACCCAAGGACATTTTTGCATTCATCTTCAGATGGGGGGGAGGGGGGCAGAGAGAAACATTGATGTGAGAGAGACGCATCGAGTGGTTGCCACCCACACAACCCCAACCAGGGCCGGGGACAAACTGCAACCTAGGTACATGCCCTCAGCAGAACTGAACCCGGGACTCTCTGATCCACAGGCCGACGCTCTAACCGCTGAGCCAAACTGGCCAGGGCCCCATACAACTTTCTTTATGAACACTGAGAGCGGCATTTTAAGTAATTTCCACATATCATGAAATACACTTCTGTTTGTTTCAACCAACTAAAAACCCTTCTTAGCTTGGAGGCTGTATAAAATCAGGTGGCAGTCCAGATTGGCCCACAGGCCATCGTTTGCCTGACCCTTCGACCCATAGACCCTTGGAATAGGTGCATCTTCTATTTATAAGCCAGGGCAATGTTTTCTGAAGTGAGGGTGCCGGTCTTCCTCCCACCAGGAGTGCAGTGTACAAGAGTTCTCATGACTTCACATCCTCGCTGAAACTGGGGCTGGTCAGGCTCCAGCGCATTGTGCAATATGGTACATCTGAAATAGCAATTAATGAATATTTAAATCTGCATCTTCCTGGTTATTACTGAGGTGGAGTAATTTTTCATGTTTACTAATTAATTATATTTCCTCTTACAACATGCCTCTCAAGTTTTCTGCCCTTTGCCTTTCTATCATTGATTCGTTTGAGTTGTTTATATTTTTACATACTCTGGATTTAAATACTTGGTCAATTATATGTGTTGTAAAAATCTTCTCCCTGTGAATGGTTTGCTTTCCTCCCCTTTTATGGTGATGTCTATCTGACACTGAGTTTTCCAATCCAAAAGCAAGGCAAGTCTTTGCCTTTATTAATATTTTCTTTATGTTCTTGGCAGAGTTTTATGGTTTCTTCACATAAATTGTTTTCATCTTTTATTCCTTATTCAATTATTTTCTTGACATATCTAGTATGTTCTTTTTCTTTTGTACTTTCAAATTAGTTTTTGTACATTATGTAACCCTCCACTAAGTTATCTTATTTTTTTCCCCTTTATATTTGAGCAAACCTAATAGAAGGTATCATTTTAGTTGACCCATGGATACATATTCTCAAGAATATGAAAGGTTTCGGACTCTGAAATAGTCTAAAATACATCATGTTTCCTGCCTACTCTCTCTTCCAAGTAGCTTTTTTTTTTTTTTTATCCTCACCCGAGGACATTTTTCCATTTTTTGTTCAGGTAGAGTGGGAGGGAGAGAGAGGAAGGGAGAGAGAGAGAAACATCGATGTGAAAGGAACACATCGAGTGGCTGCCACCCGCACAACCGACCAGGGCCGGGGACAAACTGCAACCGAGGTACGCGCCCTTAGCGGGAACCGAACCCGGGTCTCTCAGGACCGCAGGCTGACGCTCTAACCGCTGAACCAAACCGGCCAGGGCCCAAGTTGCTTTTTAAATGTGCGTGTGTGTGTATGTCTGTCCATCCATATTTATATATGTGTGTGGGTACCGGTAAAGGTGATGTAGAGCTGGGGTGGTGAGGATAGATATAGACATAAGGAGGACCCAAAGTGAGAAGAAAGATACAAATAGATTAAAGCAGATTAGGGCAAAAGAATTTAATGTAAATACTTGTGCAAAGATGATTATGAAATGTGGGGATATTAAATATTACTAGGTTAATATTAATTATAATAACTGTTATTTACTAAGTATCTACTATGTACATTGTACCCAGTGTTTGAGAGACATTCCTGATTTCACACCAATCCAGCAAAGTTACTGTTATTATCTCTATTTCACAGCTGACAAAATTGTGGCCCAAACTGGGCTAAATAACTAAAAACACCAGCAAGTCAGCAGCAAGCTAGGATTTGAATCCAGCTTGCCTGCCCCTAAGCCCTTGCTCCTTCCATTTGGCATGCAGACTTTCTGTGGTTTAGACGTCCAACAAACACCAGCAAAGAGGTTTGTACACATGTGTTCCTGTTCATGGTAATATTGTTATAATAAAAAGTAATTTGCATCATTATACATAAATGGCTAAATAATCTGTTGCATCTTTACATTTACTAAGGAATATAATATAGCAGTTAAAAAGAGTAGGGTAGGTTGATAGGGACTAACCTATAAAATCCCTTCCCCATACTAGTAATAGATAACATTTACAGAATATTATGATTATGTTGCCAAGCTAACTGAAAAAAATACAGAAAACAAGATGTAATGGAGTCTACAAGTATACTCTTATAAAAAAAAATCCATCCATCTGTACATTTAGAATTATGCAGTTGACTACATACAAATTAAATCTAAATCTGAAAATAGATGGTCTATGTTTTCATCTGTATATGAACATAGAAACCTGTCTAGCACAACACACACCAGACTTTTGGCAGTGGTTACCTTGAAGAAAGGAAGCCCTCTGCTTTTCCTCCACATACTTCTTTATTGTTTAAATATTATAAAAAGGGGAATGCATTAACTGGGTATCGAATGTATAACAAAGTACAACATGTTTTGAAGTCAATAAAATAACATCAATAAAGTAATCAATTAATAACATAAACACAATAACTGACCACAAATATACCTTGGCAGACACAGTTTACTGAGAACCCATGTGGAGATATACCCACCTTCTTCTCTGGGTAGTTTCATAAGGAATATGTTGTCTCTATTTTCCTCTGGAAAGAAGTTGACATTAAGTCACTGGTTAAGTTCTATGAGGGGGTTTTCCTATGAGCCTTATCACCACCCAGCCTGAGGGCTGCATGTGGAGGTGAGATACAGCCCCACAGCCACCCTGTGCCCCGCCCCACCCAGGGAGCTGGAGCCAACAGGAGGCTCCGTACTTGCTTGAAGCCGCCTCCCTCCTTCCCACACTCAGTGGCACGGGGATGATGCAGCTGCTGGAAATGAATATGCAGTATGTGCATACGTGGTGTGAATCAAAAAGCAATAGAATAACAAGGCTTTCAGATCAAAGGCATCAAATAGCTTTTCCTACCAAACTGGTGAAGATTTGTTTCATGTCTCTATACAAGATTGGCATGGGGTGAGGGGGCAATGATGAGAGGTTAGCAGAAGGCAAGGAGGCAGAGATCTGTCAAAGGCATTCAGGAGCTTATCTCCAGAACAAGGGCAGGCCAGTGAGAACGCCTCAGGCAGTTGGATCCCGGCTGCTGCTCCGAGGGGAACAAATGCAGAGAGAGGCCAGCAGACTGGAAGTGAGTGGAGTAGCTTGTAGGCTAATGCAGTAAGTCGGGCAAAATAGCTTGATACCCTGAAACAGTGATAGCAGTGGGGAAGGAAACAAGTGGGTGATTACCGGATATTGAAGAGAGATCCGATGGGCCTCAATGATTAACGCGTATATCTTGAAAGGGAGGATGGGGTGGTGGTGGCATCTGTTTCAGTTAGGGTTCAATTAGGAAAGCTGAATCCTAGGAATTATGAAATAAAGAATTCATTGTTGAAATTAGACCTTAGTTTGTAGGAGAAGCAGAGCAATTGGACATCTGGGGAGGGGAGCTGGAAGACCAGCGAAGTCTCCAACTAGTCAGCTTGAGAAGTAAGGATATCCAGCAAGCAAAGTAGGACCACAAAGGGGAGGCTGATGGAGAAGTCTCAAGGAAGCATTTGCCTCGGTGGGTCCAAAGGCAGGCCTCTGCTGGTGGATCTGGGGCTGCTGTTGGCCGGCAGGGCCTGCAGTCTAGAGAACGAGCTGAATGCAGAGTAGACAGAGCAGGACCAACTGGAACCCACTAGGCACCTCTGCATCTGTAGGTCATCTCAATGAACCATGATGGCATTCAGAGGTAGTGCTCCCAAATTCCTTTCTTGGCTAACTCTAACCCGTAACCACACAGGGAAGGGTCTCTGGGAAATATAGTTTCCAGTCTACCTGAGCTAATGGTGGGGGAAGATTCTGGAGGAAAGGTAGTGAATTCCCTTTTGGACACGTTGACTTTGAGCTGTGATACACCCTCTTGGAGATGTCCATTAAGCACTTGAGCTTGTCCACATTTCTTCAGTGTGCAAGCAAACTGATCCAAGACTCGTGTCCTAATTTAGCCTGGGGTGAGAGAGCGCAATGCAGCTGTAGATTAAAAACCTACCAACTAAAGATACTGGCCAGGAGCAAAGGTGGGCTCAAGAAACAAAAAAGTCCTGCCCTGGCCAGTTTGGCTCAGCGGTTGGAGCGTCGGCCTGCGGTACAGAGAGACCTGGCTTTGGTTCCTGCTAAGGTCACGTACTTCGGTTGCAGTTTGTCCCCGGCCCTGGTTGGTCGTGCGGGTGGCAGCCACTCGATGTGTCCCTTCACGTCGATGTTTCTCTCTCTCTCTCTCTTCCTCTCTCTCCCTCCTGCTCTATCTGAACAAAAAATGGAAAAATGTCCTCGGGCAAGGATAAAAAAAAAAAGAAAAAGTCCAATAAAGGTCTGTAACGTTCAGGCAGTGACTTGGAACAGCAAGATGGATTGAGCAGTCTCTACGGGGCAGGTAGGAGGGGGTGTCCTAGAGAGAAGGCCTGAGACACCCTGTGAGATATGTCAGTGCGAGGGCAACAGGTTTACATATTAAGAAGAGCCTTCTGGTATTTTGAAAGTACCACGACTCACAAGAAAGGAGAAAACTTACAGTCATTCTGCTTTTATCTCATTATGCAGGCATAAGACAGTATATTTAATGAATAATCCTTCTTTCAGAAATGTCAGAGTAGTGTGTTAATACAATTTGTGACCCCGCTGCTTAACTCATAGAGTGAGTTCTGACGGAGGTTCCGGATGATGCATCAACATTCCACCCAGAGGGGTGTGTACCATCAGATCAGCGGAACCCCCACGATGGCCATCACCACCATCACCACCACCTCTCCACTACCGCCACTGCCAGCACCACCCACGTTGGAGGGATAGAGGCTGGGGAAAGGGGGCAAAGAGAGGGCAAAGGAAGGTAACAATGTCAGAGGACCATAAAAATAGTGCCTGCAGGTAAATTTCCTTCATTTTTACTGCATAACAAATGTAATCAATGAACAGTTATATCTTCAATATTCTTTTTCCTCCACTTTCTTAGTAATCAAATGAAACCTTGGCTCCCTGTCAGGCTAATGAAAGAAGGATATAGTCCTCTGACTACCTTACACAAAACAGGGCTTCCATTCATACTCTGAATCTGCTATATTTTTCATAATAGTACTCACCTGTGTCTGATATTATATGTTTACATGTGTTCTTTTTTAAAATTTTCTCTCTCTCATATCAGAATATAAGATTCTTCTCATTTCGTGCCTATTTTGTTACCTGCTGTATCCCCAGAAAATAAAACAGTGCCTGGCATACTGTAGATGCTCAAGTATTTGTGTGTTTTTTTTAATCCTCACCCAAGGACATTTTTGCATTTAATTTCAGATAGAGCGGAAGGGAGAGAGAAACATCGATGTGAGAGAGACACATCGAGTGGTTGCCACCCACACGACCCCAAATTGCTGGGGACAAATTGCAACTGAAGTACGTGCCCTTAGTGGGAACCGAACCTGGGACTCTGGTTTGCGGGCTGCCACTCTAACCACTGAGCCAAGCAGGCCAGGGCTCAAGTATTTGTTAAATGAATGAATGAACGAATAAACATATAATAGAACACATTCTATTCTAAGAATGGCTCCATGTGGGTGAGAGTGTATTATGACTATCCCCTATATACTGATACAGTTCTGATATAAAGAAGTGAGTTGAGGTCAAAAAATCATATTAGGATGTCTTATATATTCTTCCAACAGTTCATCAAGCCTCAGAAAAACTGCATCCTTTACCTGCATATTACCAATATACATATTTAATATACATTTTGGTCAGAAGAGCTCAAAAGTTTTGCCAATATTCATTCTCTTCTTCGACTTCTCTACTTACCTTTCTATTTCCTTTGCTGGGTCTTCCTCCTCCTCCTCCTGCTGACTGGTATTTCCACTGGATTTGCTTTGGACTCCTTCCTGATTTCTCAATTGTGAGTTTTCTAGGTCAGCTTCTCAGGTCTCATAACGACATCCCTAGTTAGGTGAAGGGTTAGGACCCTGGTAGGGCACTGTAATGGGACTCTGTCCTGGGCCCCATCTGACCTGCTTAATCCTTTGTATGAGCATACGGACGGCACGGCAGATTCCTCCCCTGTAGCTCTGAGGGCAGGACACAAGCCCTACTCTTCCGTGCATCCTCCACACCAGGCACAGTAGCTGGCCTATTGCAGGGATTGAAGAAGTGAATGGAAGCTCATCAAATCTGTTGATGAGATGAAAGTACTGATGAGTGATATAATTTGGAGATTGGCTTTAAAATTTTCCAGTAAAATAAATAACTAGAATAAAATGAAAAAGTGGCTGAGGATACAGATGAAATAAGAGTGAAAAAATGTTGACAATGGTTAAAACTGGTGATGGGTATATGGGGGGATCATTATAGTCTTCTCTCAATTTCTTCGTAATTTAAAATTTTCCATGAAAAAAAAAAAAAAAGAAACACACTTGTTGATTAGATGTTGATTAGGCAGAGCCAGGGAGGCTGCTAATATGCTAGTAGTTGTAGAAGCACTTATGAAGTGGAAATTTGTAAATAAAATTCTACTGTAGGAGATGAGTAGCTATAGGCAATACGATTGTGGCTTCAGGAAATTAAATACAAATAAGAAAAGCAGCAAAACACTTCAAATTTATCAGAGCTTTGCTTGTTTCTTTAATTTTTAATTAGATTGCCATGTGTAAATCATGCATGAAGGCTGCTGAAGCCCTTTGGCTTATCACAGAGTGCACTGTTTTATCATTCATTGTAGAAGTCCTTCCTGCCTAGAAATAAGATTTTCACAGTTTTATAGGATGAAATTTTAATGCCAAGAGTCTTAAAGATGTTTGCTCTTTTTTTCTATAGCCATTATTTTATTTACACATTCGTTTTTAATTGACATACATTTCTCAAAATTGTGCTGTTTTATTTGTACAATGTTAGTTTTTTTTGTTTGTTTGTTTTTTGTTTTGTATTTATCTTCAGATAGAGAGGGAGGGAGGGAGGGAGGGAGAGGGAGAAAGAGAAACATCGATGTGAGAGAGACCCATAGAGTGGTTGCCACCCACACGATCCCAACCGGGGCTGGGGACAAACTGCAACTGAGGTACACGCTCTTATTTTTGTTTTTTTGGTTTTTTTTATCCTCACCTGAGGACATTTTTCCATTTTTTGTTCAGGTAGAGTGGGAGGGAGAGAGAGGAACAGAGAGAGAGAGAGAGAAACATCGACCTGAAAGGAACACATCGAGTGGCTGCCACCCGCACGACCGACCAGGGCCGGGGACAAACTGCAACCGAGGTACGCGCCCTTAGCGGGAACCGAACCCAGGTCTCTCAGGACCGCAGGTCGACGCTCTAACCGCTGAGCCAAACCGGCCAGGGCGAGGTACACGCTCTTAGCAGGAACTGAACCTGGGACTCTCTGGTCCATGGGCCGATGCTCTAACCACTGAACAAAAATGGCCAGGGCTTGTTAGTATTTCTTAAACTAAGTAACATAACTGTAACCAAGCAATGAGATATACAATTTACCACAACATATTAATAAAAGCACATTGCTCAATTCTGAAATACTCAGATTCAGGTTTTGCTCTTAAAACATCCTCTCTCATCCTGGCTGGTTTGGCTCAGTGGTTGGAGAGTCAGCCTGCGGACCAAAGAGTTGCAGGTTCGATTCCAGTCAAGGGCATGTACCTCATTTGCAGTTTGGTCCCCAGCTCTGGTCTCTCACATCGATGTTTTTCTCCTCTCTCCCCCTCCCTCCCACTCTATCTGAAAATAAATGGATTAAAAATCTTCTCTCACCCTGGCCGGTTTGGCCCAGTGGTTAGAGCATCCGCCTGCGATCCAGAGAGACCCAGGTTCCTGCTAAGGGCACGTACCTCAGTTGCAGTTTGTCCCCCGCCCTGGTTGGGTCATGTGGGTGGCAACCACTCGATGTGTCCCTTTCATGTCGACGTTTCTCTCTCTCTCCCCCACCTCCCGCCCCACTCTATCTGAACAAAAAATGGAAAAATGTCCTCAGGTTAGGATAAAAAAAAATCCTCTCTCATTGATTTACCGATATTTTGTTAAATTAGTTTTATACAGAACACATTTCTCCCTAAGCACTGTTATTTCACGTCTTTAAGTAAAATGTTTTCATTTGGTCCGGCTCTCGGTGTCCTTTTCACTTTGGGTGGAAGCAGCAGCCATTTCCGTGTGTCCCCTTTGCTGACTGCTTCACCACGTATCTCATTTGATGCTAAAAACAACCCTGTTCATTTTCCAGATAAGCAAGCAGATGCTCAGAGACATGGAATATCCTGACTAAGGTCATAGAGTTAATAAGTGAAGGCAGTTTTTTAAAAAACCCGAAGTCTACATTGTTGACAGCATATTTTCTGTATCCAAACTTTCACTACTTGGACTTTCTAAACAAGGCCGTGATATAGTACTGAGTGAAATGGCAGATTCTAGGATGGCATGCAAAATATGACCCCACTTACATTTCAGAAAAACTACATGCATATTATATTATCTGTATATTTATGTAATATATTATTATCGACTACCTAATTATGTTATATATCAATATATTAGTAATATTATGTTTACATTTTACTATATATTAATGTATTATATTAATATGTTGACATCTGTTACAAATATATACTAGAGATATTTGGAAAGGTAGCGAGCTGTTGATTATCACTGGGACTGAGATTAGTGTGGTGGGAGTGGGATGGAGACAAATGGACATTCTTTTATTTCTACCTTGTATCCTTCTGCATTGAACTTAAAAATGATTATGCATTGCTTTTATTATTATATAAATCATTATTACTAAATAGGCTCATTTGTAGCATATAATTTTTTTAAAATATGTTTTTATTGATTTTAGAGAGGAGGGAGAGTGAGAGAAACATCAATGTGAGAGGAAAACATAGATCTGCTGCTTTCTGCCTTATTTTATGAAATAAAAAAATAGATATGTTCTTGATAAATTTGTGTGTATATTTATTTTTTATAGCCCATTTAAATTATTTTCTTTTAGGAACACTTTTGTAGCATTCACAAATTGATTTTTTTTTTTGCTATATTTTTGTTTTTATTAAAATGAAGAATGCCACCCAGCCGGCATGGCCCAATGGGTAGAGCGTGGTCCCATGGACTGAGAGGTCCCGGTTGGATTCCTGGTCAGGGCACATGCCTGGGTTGTGGGCTTGATCACCAGTAGGGGGCGAGCATGATGTATCTCTCACATTGATGTTTCTATCCCTTCCTCTCTCTAAAAAATCAATAAAAACATATTTTTTATTTTTTTATTTTTTTTTATTTTTTATTTTTTATCCTCACCCGAGGATATTTTTCCATTTTTTTGTACAGATAGAGTGGGAGGGAGAGAGAGGAAGGGAGAGAGAGAGAGAGAAACATCGACGTGAAGGGACACATCGAGTGGCTGCCACCCGCATGACCAACCAGGGCCGGGGACAAACTGCAACCGAAGTATGTGCCCTTAGCGGGAACCGAACCCGGGTCTCTCCGGACCGCAGGCCGACGCTCTAACCGCTGAGCCAAACTGGCCAGGGCAATAAAAACATATTTAAATAACTAAAATGAAGGATGCCTAAATTAAACAATGTGACTATTATACAAGCCTTGAAATTAGCCAGCAAATGTTGAACCTCGAGATTAGAACCAACCAAACAGCAGTGAGCTTGGAAGCAGTGAATCATATAGTAAACTAGATATTTAATGATCTTATCTACTTGACTATCTCGTAATTTCTTCTTTTATAAGAAGCCCAAAACCCAGGCATATGCCCTGACTGGGAATTGAACTGGCAAACTTTAAGTGCTTGGGCCGACACTCAACCAACTGAACCACATTAGCCAGAGATAAATGGGCTAATTTCTTTCTTTCTTTCTTTCTTTCTTTCTTTCTTTCTTTCTTTCTTTCTTTCTTTCTTTCTTTCTTTCTTTCTTTCTTTCTTCTTTTAAATGTAATATATTTTTTTATTGATTTTTTATAGAGGGAGGGAGGGAGAGAGAGAAACATTGATCTGCTATCTCCTGTACCCCCCTCACCGGGGATCAAGCTGGAAACCCAGGCACATGCCCTGACTGGGAATTGAACCGAGACATCTCAGTCCATGGGACTATGCTCAATCCACTGAGCCACACTGGCCAGCTAAAGGGGCTCATTTCCTTTTTATTTTATTTATTTATTTATTTATTTATTTATTTATTTTTATCCTCACCCGAGGACATTTTTTTCCATTTTTTGTTCAGATAGAGTGGGAGGGAGAGAGAGGAAGAGAGAGAGAGAGAGAAACATCGACGTGAAAGGGACACATCAAGTGGCTGCCACCCACATGACCAACCAGGGCCGGGGACAAACTGCAACCGAGGTACATGCCCTTAGCGGTAACTAAATCCAGGTCTCTCTGGACCACAGGCCAATGCTCTAACTGCTGAGCCAAACCGGTCAGGGCAAGGGGCTCATTTCTTATCTCAATCATCAACATTCTTGAATACCTATTATAATGCCTAGGATGTTTTTTAAGTCCCTGTGGGCCCCAGGCATTATTTTTGTAGGCCTACCCCTCATTACATCTAATACATTTAATATACCCATATCAAATACAACTTGTGTATGAGTTGAGCTGAAGTTATTTAGTTTTCAAAATGCCACATTTCATAAGCATTAAAGCTACTAACTGATGTTTCAGAGTTTAGAATATTTTTAAACTAAAGCATTTTTTCCCCAGGTCTCCAACATTTCCATAGGCCCTTACAAAGATCCCATGCCCTAGGAATTGTGCATAAAATGAATAAAAATGTCCCCAGGTGCTGAATACTACTGTTCTAGATGCTTCTGATAGGAAGGGTGTCAGCTCTCCAGAAACTTACCGTTCAGCTCCACATTTTTCTTTCCTTTCCTCAGCCCATACCTCTTTCCCATTGTAGTCCTAAAAAATTCTGTTCTATCAGTTTTGTTTCGGCATCTCCCATTGATTTTCTTGCAAACACTTTTATCAGGACAAAAGTATTTTAAGCAAGACAAAATGGAGTACAAAAGTAATTATGCCCATAACTTGAAATCAAATTCCTAGGTCTCATACATGTATCTCCATGTGCCTGGGATTAAATATTGTACTAATTTCTCTGAGTATTAGTTTTTAGATGTCTAGCTGACTTTGTGGAGATTTTGCCTAATTTTATTCAGTAACAGACAAGTCAATCACCAATTTATTCAGTACTTACTACGTGTTTTGGGGGGGAATCACAGAAAGATTCATCAGAGTGTTTAATTCTAGGCCTGTATAAAATCATGAGGAACCGAAGCAAATTGCAAAGATAAGGGTCTGCTTGAAGAGATTTTAGTCATTGCATCATTCCTGGCATGTAAATATCTTTCATCCTGTTTGCAGAGTGTTTTGGAAATCAAGGAAGTGGGTTGGAAGTAAATCAACAGTTGATTCGGAAGAGAACGTCTCAGTTCCACTGAAAAGCAAGCATGTTAAAAGGAAGGGGGAGAGACAATCAACAGACTCTGAAGACCAGCAAGAGGAGATCTCCAGTGACATGACCACATTTCCCTGTTCCACATGCGATGCGGAAATCGAACCACCTAAAATTTTCTTCCACAAAAAGCAACACGCAGCTCTGGCCACACTGGGTCTGAAATGGAGTGGTGGAAATAAGCCAGCACACTCAGTGATTGCTATTCAGAGACAGTTTGTAATTAGCAAACTATTGTCATCTTTTACATTTACTGAAAAAGCCCTCCAGAACATTGATAATGCTTTTGAACTGCTTTGGAAGAAAAAAATACCAGCATACTATGCGATTATTGGTAACATTCACAGCAGTTCCATATACTCACAAAAAGTCTGCCATCAATTAATTAAAGGATTAGCCATCAGTGATGACAGGAATTCTACATGGAAAGTCGACATGAATGATAAATTCACCGTGGTGAATAACTTTGGCAACAAACCAAACGTGTGTTTTCTCGGTTTGTTCGATGGGCATCACGGTGCCTCGGCGGCAGGTTTCACATCCACGGAACTCCCAGTTTTACTTCTCCATCAGCTTTCCAGATTTGATCCTTCCTACCAGCTGACCCCCAAAGAGCAAAAGCTAATCGATTCCTTTCATACTGTGTTTAGGGAAGAATACCGAGCTACAGAAAACCTCTTTTCTGTAAAGAAACAAGCAAAAGAACCGTGTGAGCATGAGAACATACACAAAGCCTTTGCCACAGCATTCTGGAGAATGGACAGGCTTTTACGTCTTGGAAGGAAAGAAGTATCCAGGTTTCAGTGGAGTGGCTGTTCTGCAGTGACCTGTATATTGGAAGGCAGAAGTAAGAGTCCCCAGGTCCAGAGGAATCAAAGAATCATTGATCGTGACAGTTCGGCAGAGAGGTTCCCTTTCCAGAAGATGCCACAAATAATTTCTGGAGAACTACATGTTGCAAACACTGGTATGTACATTGAATAGTGCCTGGTTACACCTTCCCATTTTTTTTTATTTCTGGTAGCAAAACTGCTTATGCTTCCAGAATTATTTAGTGAGTTATTAATGCCTGGAAATTGCATTGACCAACTTAAGGAATCACCAGTAACTCGGTTAAATGCAGATCGCAGGCACGCAAATAATTGTCATTATTTTTCAAGGAGGCACATATGAGACACAATGTAACCAAAACATTAAATTTTCTAAGTGGGTAGCAATATAGCTGTTAATAAAGCAAAGCAAATACATTACATTTGTCTAGATCTGAATGAAACAAAAAACATTTCTCATACTTCTCTTTTTTCAGGAGAATGGAAAGTACTTTGAACATTGCTAGTATAATCGTCCAGTTGGTCCAGTGGTCAATTGTTCTGATAACTAATACATTTGCAATAGGCCACTCATGCTCAATGGCAAAGTAGCATCAAGTTCACCTTAGAGAAAACAATAGTTCATGCTTCCATTTTATGAGCATGTTTTCCCTAACATTTAGTGTAGTCCTTTAATTTTATTTCAGGAAGCCATTCTTTTGACCTTCAGTGCTAAAGTTCCAGTTTGGGAGCTTGCCAAAATGAAAAGCCCAGGGGTAAAAGTTTTAGCAAAGAGTTACATGCTGAGTTTCATGAGATGCTTAACTAGGTTTCCACCACCCCTTTCATGGATAGAATTATTACTAATGATAGTGTCCACTTACTGAATAGTAAATACAGAGTAATTTCTCATTTAGTCTTACAAGAACCCTGATATCTAATAATATCTAAGTATTGGGGTTATTAAAAATATATTTGATAAATAACATTGTGTAAGTTTAACATATATAACATTATATGATTGCCATTGTGGTGACAATTAACACCTCTATCACACCGCATACTTTTTAATTTATTTTTATTTTTGTTACAGATTTTTCTTCTTTTTCCCTGAAGACATCCTCCTCCCTATCCCCTCCCCCCCAAGCATTGTTGTCTATATCCATTGATTAGGAATACATGCCATACTTATTTCTTTGTAGTGGTTGGAATAATTAAGGTCTAGTCTGTCAGTGAGTTTGATGATTATAATGCAATACTGTTCTCTATGTTCCCTATATGATGCATTAGATCTCTACGACTTATTTACTACTCGTTGCAAATTTGTACCCTTAATTATCTGTTCTACCTAAACCCGCTATAAGTGTTAACCCACTTTTCTAGATGAGAAAATGGAAGCTTGGAGAGGTGAGATCATTTGTCTCAGAGGTAATGGGAATCAGAGCTGGAATCATTCCGCCTCTGAAGGGGATGGCTTCTACAGGCAGAGGGGTCCGGGCCTCAGGGACAGAGAGGGACTTAGTGACAGGGATGGCTCTGAACCAGGGCCCAATAATAACAAAGACCATTACAATGTCAAGGTCCCTGGAAGTCAGCCTGTTTCTGATCTAGCTCTGGCTCTGAGCCCAAAACAAGAACTCCAAATTAAGCAATACCAAGAACCAAATGCAATGCCAGTTTCCTCGAAGTCATTGTCATTTCACAGGGTCTACCCTGAGGTTCCAAAGCCTTCAGAGTGGGCCTACTTGATTGAGCAGAGAGGTTCGGGTTTCAGACCCATCTGGGAGCTGTCCCATATTCCTGGACTTGGGACCTTTATTAGAAAACATCATTAGATATCAGGGTTCTTGTAAAAGAAGAAATTACGAGATAGTCAAGTAGATAAGATCATTAAATATCTAGTTTACTATATGATTCACTGCTTCCAAGCTCACTGCTGTTTGGTTGGTTCTAATCTCGAGGTTCAACATTTGCTGGCTAATTTCAAGGCTTGTATAATAGTCACATTGTTTAATTTAGGCATCCTTCATTTTAGTTATTTAAATATGTTTTTATTGATTTTTTAGAGAGAGGAAGGGATAGAAACATCAATGTGAGAGATACAGCATGCTCGCCCCCTACTGGTGATCAAGCCCACAACCCAGGCATGTGCCCTGACCAGGAATCCAACCGGGACCTCTCAGTCCATGGGACCACGCTCTATCCATTGGGCCATGCCGGCTGGGTGGCATTCTTCATTTTAATAGAAACAAAAATATAGCAAAAAAATTCAACTTGTGAATGCTACAAAAGTGTTCCTAAAAGAAAATAATTTAAATGGGCTATAAAAAATAAATATACACACAAATTTATCAAGAACATATCTATTTTTTTATTTCATAAAATAAGGCCTACAATTATAGCATGGGAATTCATTTTTCTTGTTTGAAATCTGTAAAATGCCAGTGTCATATCACAACTCTGGAATTAAAATAAAAACACTTCACTTTAGCCGTGGCTGGTTTGGCTCAACAGTTACAGTGTTGGCCCAAAGACCAGAGAGTCTCGGGTTTGATTCCCCGTCAAGGGCATGTACCTGGTTGCAGGTTCGATCCCAGCCCTGGTCCAGGTGATGTGGGGAGGCAACCGAATGATGTCTCTCTCACATTGATGTTGTTTTTTTTTTTTTAATCCTCACCCGAGGACATTTTTGCATTTTTTGTTCAGACAGAGCGGGAGGGAGAGAGAGGAAGGGAGAGAGAGAGAGAAACATCGACGTGAAGGGACATATCGAGTGGCCGCCACCCGCACGACCAACCAGGGCCGGGGACAAACCGCAACCGAGGTACGTGCCCTTAGCGGGAACCGAACCCGGGTCTCTCTGTACCGCAGGCCGACGCTCTAACTGCTGAGCCAAACCGGCCAGGGCACATTGATGTTTTTTCTCCCTCCCTCCCACTCTATCTGAAAATCATATCCTTAGGTGAGGATTTAAAAACCCAAAACACCACCACCACCACCTCACTTTATAATGAAATATGAGGGCAATGATGAAGCCATTTTATAAACATTGATTTTGTGCATGTGAAAAAAGATACTTCCCAATTGATATTCCTGATTTTTTTGTTCTTAGCACTTCTCATTTACATTGCATTTTATAATTTTTCCTGGTGCTCTTTTAATTTACCTCCATTATTCCTCAGAGGATGAAAACGCCAACAAATATATTTATTCACAACACGTAATTATACTTTTTCCCTAATATCAAATAAACCACAAATTTTACATTTATAATTAACCACACTAGTTCCTTATAAACATAAGGGATTCTTACTTGATAACTTTAATCATTTCCCTGGGGCTTTTTTTTTAGTGGGAGGGAGAGAGAGGAGGAGAGAGAGAGAGACATCGAAGTGAAAGGGACACATCAAGTGGCCGCCTCCCGCACAACCCAACCAGGGCCGGGGACAAACTTCAACCAAGGTACGTGCCCTTAGCAGGAACCCAACCCGGGTCTCTCTGGACCGCAGGCCAATGCTCTAACCGCTGAGCCAAACTGGCCAGGGAAGGGCTTTTATTTTTAATAGCTTTACTGAGACATATCATTCACAAAGCATACAATTCACCCATGTGAAGTGTATAGTTCAATGGTTTGTAGCATCATCACAGATATGTGCAATCATCATCAGTCAATTTTAGAAGATTTTTGTCATCTCAAAAGGAAACCCTTGGCCTGGCTGGTTTGGCTCAGCAGTTAGAGTGTCGGCCTGTGGACCAGAGAGGCCCAGGTTCACTTCCCGCTGGGGGCATGTGCCTCAGTTGCAGTTTGTCCCCGGCCCTGGTTGAGGTCATGTGGGTGGCAACTGCTCAATGTGTCTCTCTCACATCAATGTTTCTCTCTCTCTCTTCCACCATCCTCTCTCCCTCCCGCTCTATCTGAAGATAAATGCAAAAAAAAAAAAAAAAAGGAAACCCTTGGCAATCAGCTCCTTATCTTCCTGTTTCTCCAGGTCTAAGCAACCACCAATCTACATTCTGTCTTTATACATTTCCTGTTGTGGACATTGCATATGAATGGAGTAAAATTTCATATAAATATGTGTTCTTTTGTGACTGCCTTCTTGTATTTAACATAATGTTTTGAAGGTTCATCCATGTTGTAACATGCATCAGGACTTATTTCCTTCATATTACTGAATAATCCACAGCAGAGTTATACCACATTTTGTTCATCTGCTTATCAACTGACAATCTGTTTTCACTTTTTGGCTATTATGACTAATGTTGGCATAAACATTGTGCACAAGTTTTTGTGTGGACATATGTTTTCACTTCTCTTGGGTATATACCCAGCAGTGGAATTCCTGGGTCATAAGTTAACTCTATGTTTAACCATTTGAGGAACTGCCAAACTATTTTCCAAAGTGGCTGTACCGTTTTACTGTTCTGCCAGTAATGTATGATGATTCTAATTTTTCCACATTCTCCCAACACTGTCTGTCTTTTTTATTCTAGCCATCTTAGTGAGTACAAAGTGGTATCTCACTGTGCAATTGATTTGCATTTTTCTGATGACTAAATGTTGTCAAATATCCCTTCATGTGCTCATTCGTCATTTGAATATCTTCTTTTGAGACATGTCTACCAAAATCTTTTGTCCATTTTTTTAGTTGGGTTACTTGTCTATTGTTGAGATGTAAAAGTTATTTTAATAATCTGAATACAAATTCTTTATCAGATATAGGATTAGAAAATATGCTATTTTCTTCAATTCCATGAGTTGTTTTGACTCTTTCTTGATGTCTTTTGAAGCAAAAAAAGATTTTAATTTTGGTTAAATCTAATTTATCAACTTCACTGTTGCTGCTTGTACTTTTGGTGTCATATCTAAGAGACTATTACTTAATCCAAGGTCACAAAAGTTTAGACTAGTGTTTTCTAAGAGATTTATAGCTTTATTCCTCAGATTCAGATCTATGATCCATTTTGACTTAATTTTGCTGTGTCACAGCATAAAGGTCCAACTTCATTTTTTGTATGTGGATATAGCTGTCCTAGTGACAACGAATAAAAATATTACTCTTTCCCCATTGCATGGGATTGCCATTCTTGCTGAAAATCTATTAACCAATAAAAAGGTTTATAGTTGAAGTTTTAATTTTATTCCTTTGATCTCTAT